CTGTAATCTGAGTTCTGATAACACCTGCTGCTTTCTTTGTTAGCTCGTATAAAAGGGTCATTTCATATGAAATGAGTGAAACCTGAGAAAGGTTACCACCTGACTCCCACAGAATCACCTGATTTTTTTTTCAAGCATACAATAACTTCAGTATGTTTAATGAGCCATGCAAATTTTTACTTTCCTGCCCTCGATGTATAAAGACTTTAGCACAGAATTTAATCATTTAATGTGTTAATTATTTCCAATGGTTTTCTAACCCCCAATAAATTCACAGCTGTAGGAGATAGCTGTGTGACATTTGTTATAAACAAGCTTCAAAACCTAAAGCAAACATCTTCAGAACAGTTTTTTTTTCTTGGCAGAGACTCGATCGCTAATCATTAAAGGCCTCCCACGGTAAGATAGAGGGATCACATGTATTAAAAGAATGACTAGATAGTTGGATGTTTAACACTACTGCATGATGTGAAAACACTGATTCCTGGACTATGTTGTCACTGGTGGGGATGGTGTTGCACATAAATATGATGTATATCAGTTTGAGTAGTTTAGTAACTGACATAGAGAAGCAGAAGCCAACACTGTTACCCTGCATGTTTTATTTGTTTTCTGAAATTTTATGTGATAAAAGATAAAAAGATGGATTTTGATGAAAACTTTGAAGGGTCATATCACTATTTCTAATAGAGGTTAAATTGCATCTAGCTGTGTTCACAAGTGCTGGGGGAAAAAGTGCTATAGTTTAAAAAAATCAGCTGATTCTGATGGGGTCAGGTGGGAGTCTTTTACAGATTTCATGTGGAGTGACATTCCTGTCACAGGTCAATTTTTAGTTAAACCAGACTGCAGAGCAAGACCTAAATAAATGTGAGAGACATTTGTTAGATCAAAATAGGGAGGCCAGATGCCAACGAGTTTAAATGTGGGGCAAAAGCTGCACTTCTGTGAGATAGTGGGGCACGTGGACGATGCTAACAAGTTCAGTTACCGTGTACAGACCCAATATAGTGTATCTCCACTTCTTTTGCTTAGGAAATGCTACAGGTTTATGAGAAAGTTTGTGTATTCTTAAAGTCTTTATATAGACCTGCTGCTCTCACTGGTTTATCCATAGATGGCAGAGCTTTTTTGAGCCACAATCAACAATAACACACACACACACACACACATAATGTGTCACTCCCCACCATATTTTCCTCTCTGTGCAAAACTGAAAAATAGCACAAAAAAGTGTCTCTTTCTGAGAAAATACCTCTGCTTCATTTTCTTCGTGGTCTTTTCCACTATATTCAAAATTTGCAGAGCTTGTAAGTGTCCCTGAAAGGTAAGTTGTTAGTCAGTCATGAACTAGTACAGATGTGGGGAATTACAAATGCTGTGCAGTCACGTTTATCCTAGACATAGATCATAGACTTTTCCTTTGTGAAAGCTTCATTTGGTTTCAGGGGGGAACAGAATAGGAAGTGCAAGAATGGTGCAGGGTGCCTTTGCAAAGACTTTAACGTAATAGGCTGTATTTATGAGTCCAGTGACGAGAATGCTATATCACACATTCCAGGCTATCATTGAGAGTCGAACAATTCATTTATTTAAAACTTGTTCAAACAGTGAAACACCAGAGGAACAGTGTAACGCGATATATCTGTGAACTGTAGAAACATGTTGATCATATAAGGTTTTTTGCTCTTTTTAAGAAATCCTACATAACCTAGCATAGAGACTCATTAGCTTAATATTGAGTATTCACTTATAGCACTTCCTATTTTCTCTCCCGATGTTTCACTATACCCATTTACTTTAAAACCATTTGTGAGTTTATAAAGTTATCATATATTATACAATCATAAATACCCTCCAACCTTCATCCCTCATGAGCTATCCACAGTCATTTCATTGATATGAAAACCACATATTTCATCTGATGAGGAAAAACTGTCAAACTTGTGCTGTATGTACAAATTTTAAACAACCCCAAAAATACAAACTAGGCAGCCTTACATCATTTCCCCCCCAAAAAACAAAACAAAAAACAACATGAAGGACAGATAGGGTTGAAGCCGATCCAAATTTCCTGCTAAATCACAGATGCATGCAAGTTAGGCAGTGTTATTTATCTGCGACTGATTACGGCAGGCGCCAGTTAGGCTTTGCTGGTGATCTGCTAATCCAGACCCAAAACAAAAGAGGACGAAGGTTCATCACTGCTTTTCCTCCTTTTCGTTTTTGCTTCCTCCCAACCATCGTGTCAGCGCGAAAACACCCACACCCACAGCCGCAGCGAAGCCTGCATACATGGCGACCTCTCCTGCCTTACGCACCTGCAAGGAAAACATACATCATTGCAGCTAACGTGATTTATTTTTTGTTGAAATTTATAAAGTAGCAAAAGAATTTAAATCCCCACAGCTGCCCAACTTAAAAAAAAAAACAAAAGCGATTTGAACTTTTAAAAGATTTTGGGCGGATTGGGTTTCAGTGAAAACATCTTCTAATTAAAAGATCATAACATTCATTTGTTCTTAGTGTCTGAAAGAAGCATTCCTGAAACAACACATCAGTGTTTATACTTAAGTTTGGAATAGGAGAAATCAAGTGGATGCAGAACTTGATCCGGTAAGAGCAGCTGACACTCCTACTGAACTTCAGCTGCACTGGGAGCAGTTTAAAGTTTCACTTTCACTGCCTGTTAAGTTTCATTTTGACTCAGAGCCTTGTTCAGAAAAGGTAATGGGTGGACTTCAATGCACTTTAAGCAAATTCAACTAATCTTTGAAGGCTTTGTCTGTTTAGTAAGATACAATTTTACAATTTACACGTTTACTCACTGATGCTTAGATTTAAATATTAACTAAAGGTTGTAAAACCAGCGTGCACAGACCTGCCCTGTCATGTCCCAGGCCCCAAAAGTTTCCTCTTATCACTGTATGCAGCACGTTGACTCCACTGATATCATTCCGCCCTTTAAAAGCCCTTCCCACTGTTACTCACAGTTACCTCTCTCTTTAGTTTCTTACATAATCCTTTACCTTGTTAAATATGTGGTGATATTTTGATGTTTCGGTGTTGTATGAAGCTGGAAAGCCTCTTGTACCCTGCTTTGAATCCCTAACAGACAAATAAATTAATTGATATTTAATTACAGCTAATTGCAACTGATTGAGCCATTCATCATTTAGAAGACGGCAAACCTGCAGAGCAAACAGGAGGGGTGGAGCAAGCAATGTTTGGTATGAGAGATAATTTCCCAGCTGGTGTCACAGAAGAATGAAAGGATTCAAAGTTATAGCTATGAATGAATCTTTAATCC